CTATTTGGATCTTCTATTGTTCGGGATTGTTCGATTTTGGTCGGTTTTGAACAAATCAGCCAAATGCCCACCACTCAATAGGGTGTTATCACCTGAAAATGTACAAAATGCTACCCAAAGAGCATCAAAGGTATAGAAGCATCCCTAGAGGCTGTTAAACACACATTTGAGCAATTATCAAGAAAATTCAAGTTAATTTGGCAGAAAACTTATAAAACATGCTATGAATAAGGATACAAAAATGAATGTTTTACGTGTCATCACTCCCCGTATACATCATTCAACTTAGTATTGAAGCGAGTTACAAATTCATTCTCTTGAATCTTGATACTTCCTCGTAGTGACCTCAATAAGGCATGTAACAATCCTATTTCTAAGTTCAACACCACATATGCAATTAGGTATTAATATGTATCGAATAAAATCTTCCCAATAACTCTTCAATTCTGAGTAAAACTAATTCAATGCAGTCAAAAGCGCGATTCTATCTAGAAGCGGAAAAAGGGGTAAAATCATAAAGCGTAGAATCAAAGCGTAAAATCGTAAGTTTTTCAAGCATACTGAAAAATAACTAAAAAGTTAGGACATATACTATGTAAAATATGAATGCACAAAATTTAGATAAGTTAATAAATACATGCAATTCATGCCTCAAGTAAAGCAACTTGTAGTATCTTAATAATAAGTTTGTAAACATAAATTTTAACAATAAGCCTCTTCTTCCTCTATGCTAATGCATTCGGGAAGAGCCTAGCTGGTGAATTAGATTACTCTATTAAAGTTGAGAATGCATCCAAGTACATGATATGTATCTTTTAATCTCAAATGTATCATATTGTTGGTGATTTACTTTTAAAATATACTTTTTATAATTAATTTCATGAAAAGAATACTCATTTAGTGAACTAAAAGAGTAAAAACGTAAAGCGTTTTGGTGAACTAGAAGCGTAAAAGCGTAAGATTTTAAGCTTTAAAGCGCAATTTAGTCCAATTTTATACACTTAAGTTTTTAAATGGAAACGAAAGCGTTTTGGTGACCTAAAAGCGTAAAATTGTAAGTTTTTAAGGTTTAAAACGCGATTTTGACTGCATTGAACTAATTTACATACTTGTTACCTTGCTTCAGGGTGCAACTATTTTATAGTGGTCACCGATCCTGATGTTATCTACTTGACCATGCCGCTATCTCAGATTTTCCCAAAAAAGTAATGCATTGTCTTGAGAATATACGATATTCACCAAGGTTGGATCTAGAGACCCAAGGATTTTGAAATACATTGCAATATTTCTCTATTTCCAAGCCTAATGGCTCTCATGTTGTGGATCCGGAACTGGAATCGACCCAATGATAAATCTCAACTTGTTATGGATTTTCTACGCAACATGCACGGTCCGACCCCAGAGGTTATAGTTTTCAGTTCTTGTGATCTTGATTGGAAAGTTCGGGGCCTCATTAGGGTTTACATACTAATGGTTTGTTACTGTTTGAAGTATTTGGGTTACAAGAGAACTAGTAGCATAACATTTTTCCATCTTTGTTGAAGGAAAAACAAATAAGAGGTATGGAGAAGGAGAACAAAAAATGTGAGTATGGTGGTTAGAAAATCTTAGGTGATTGAACTAGACTCTAATACCATAAGAAACTTATTGAAGAAGGATATTTGTGTAGGAACTCGCAATTATCCTTGGTGGCTAAATGCCTTTTATATACTCTGTCAAATTTAAAGGGAAGAGTACAAAATTACCTATCTATTTAATTACAATGGTAATTAACAGAAAACTCCACCATTAAGTATTGAGAGATTGTTGTGACTGATGTAGGTTTGGTTATCCTTTTGCGTGTTTTAACTCATCAAGCTTGATAACACTTAAATTTGCATTATTTAACCTTCCATTTCTTAGGTGATTGCATGTCATATCTCTTCATCCATTTGAGATAGATTTCGTGCTATTTTTTCTTCCTATCATCAATACGCTAAGATTTAGCTTGTTTTTATCGTCACTCCATTTGGCATGAATCTTTTTCATTTGCATCCTTTTATAGGATATGTTGTGTTTTTTAGTTTAATTTCATATCCTAGTATGATAAGGAAGAACCACGCCAAGTTTCATGGCAATCGTAGGTCGTTTGAAGGGTGAGAAGGTAGGAAAAAAAAGGCTTGAGTAAAGTTCACAGGCTGAAGCAAGAGATCACGATCGTGAACTCTATTACATGCCCAGAGGGTGCCAATGACAAGTACATAAGTTCTCATGAGAGCTTCACAACCACGGCAAGCTGGACCACGAGAACAAGTTCACCGGTGTGAGAAAAAGATCACAACGAACTCTTGTTCAAGGCTGCGAACTTCTCCTTGCCATAAAGATTTCACAACCTCTTGTCAAACTTCACGACCGTGAACTCCTCCGAAGCCCTAGGTCGCAAACTTTTTCCTATGTGGGTCTATAAATGAAGAGGGTTTTTTTAAGAAAAAGTAGGCATCCTAGAGAGAGAGAAACATAGTTTGGGAAGATGCAGGAGGAGAGTGACGAGCTTGGTGACTTCTTGGGATATTTCTTCACCTAATCCTTCCAAGAATCAAGAGAAGTGATCAAGGTAAGAAGGAGAAGATGGATCTACCCCAATATTGGTGTTTTTCTTCCTCTTTGTACAATTTATATCTTTCTCTCTATGAACTAAACCCTAGTGTTGGTTAGATGTAGAATTCTTTAGATGTTTGTTATGGATTTGTAGTATGAATTGGAGTGTTTGATTATCTTTCAACTATCTATCTATGTTAATTAATGCATGAATTAGGGTTTCATTTATGTGATTGTGCTTCCCTCCTAAATTATAGGGTTTGACCCACCACTAATGAGTGATCACATCACATGAACTGGAACTCTAGTTGGTTGTATTTAGGTCTTGGAGATTGACGAGGTGACCATACCACACTCTCAAAGGTTTGACCACCATTAGATAGATGAAGATTGTGTGGTTTGACTAAACTCATGGTGGCACATAACCCTTCATAGTAAAACTATCTCGTGAAGAGTGAGATGGTCCATTAGTGGAATCCATACCGTAATGCATCATCTAGGTAGTTGGGGTTGCGAGAATTCAACTTGGATCTTTCTACCCAGGTGATAGGAGCTCTAATTGTATGACCATTAAGTTAGAGCTTAGTCTATGTATTCTTGTGATGAATCAATTCAATCCCTAGCATGGATTGGAGTATTAATCTATGACATGTTGTGTTCAATTAGAGTTATTAATGCTTCTATCGACGGTTTGGATGCTTGATATGGTATTTTATATGTGTTAGAACTTAGATCTAGGGTTAGACATGAGAATGGTGTTGAAGGTTTCCATACTAGAGTAGATGATATAGAGTCCTAGCTAGCAGACGAGGTGACCATTCCCTTCTATCTAGGAGCTCACCTAATTTGCGCTTGTTGAGTAAGTGCATGACCATTGACTTACCAGACTTGTGTGCGGATGGGTAGAACCCGTTTAGTGGAGCGGGAACCCATCTCTAGTCACGAAAGTTGGTCGTGGTGATATTGGCCTGATGGACGTGGCTAGAAGGGGGATCGGGAGGCATGACCATTGCACCGATCCCAACCTTAGAGACCTTCGCATCACACTCGCCATGGATATTTCCAATTCCTTACAACATTAACCCTTAGCAAGCATCGAAGGTAGTTCGAAGTCTAGTCGACATTATCTCTTATTTAGTGATCTCCCTCGCTTTTAGTTTAGTTTTTTTCTTTTTAGTTTTGTTCACACTTAAACCAACAACCATATCGGTTGACTAGATAGTAGATCGAGGCCGAGAGTAGTAATAATTCTAAAGGGCCCTATGAATACTACCTCGGTCACCACTATACTACTTCGCTGATCTCGGGTGCACTTGTCTTAGATTGGAAAGTTAGTATTGTCGACGATCAAGTTTATAAATGTAAAAAGCTCTATGCTGACACATCAAAGCTTGAGCTCTTTCCTTTTGTTTTTTTTATGTTTGATTGTTTGGAGGTTAACCCACTTTTTTATTCTTCTGCTTTTCTTTTTTGGCATTTGCTTATTTTTCGACCTTGTTTTTCTCTTCTTGTAGAGTCTGTTTAGTATCATTCCCAATATATTTTTTGTTTATTTTTGTTTTTATTTGTTATTGTGGCAACAAGAGTTGTCGACACTACATTAATTAATTGAAATTAGCTTCCTTCATATTTGCAAAACCTGTTTTAGTAGGATCCTATCACTTGTTGGAATAATTTCATTCAATAGTGTGTGACCAAAATCTCACCAGCCCCACTTTTACATATTTTTCTCTCTCATTTTTCACATAACTCATTTGCAATACTTTTTTTTATATAAGAACCTGATTAATTTATTATGAGGCTCGGGCATCCTTGTCCAAACAACTTAAGAGAATAATTGGGGGTCTGGAGTCCCAAACCTCCTCTTCCCAGTTACACCTAAGGTGTGCCATGATGTGGGCCGATCCGTTTCCTCCCCGTTTCACAAACTCCCAATTGATGGGCCTCAATCTCTCGGCTTCGGCCTGTATCTCACTTATTAGGGGGCCCGATTCCAGCCTTGACTGGTCCTTCCGCCGGAGTGCATTTGCGACCTGCTGACAGTCCGTCTCCACCACTGCCTGGCGATAACCACTCCTTTCCAAATGCTTCAGTCCAAACTCCACCGCCTTTATCTCAGCAATTTCTGGCGGCCAGCATCTTCTCTCCCTCCGCACCGCTACTCGCAGAAAAGCGCCATTCTCGTCGCGCATAATCATTCCCAGTCCTGTCCCTTCTCCCTTCAACACCGCGGCATCGACATTCATATTGATACTAAATGTGGTCTAAAGAAGCAACTAAATGCAATTCTATTTCTGATTGTCAACTTCCTTGTATTCTACGAATTGAATTACAGTTAAACAGGATTACATTTTCTATTTTCATGTTATTGCGTTTGTACCCTCGTTCTCACAGCTCTACCACAACCAAAACAACAACAAAACTACACCAAACAAAACCTTGGTTTCTATTTGTGTTTGAATAAATTTGTTCACCCTTAGCAAAAGACCATGAGGCATTTCTCTTTTTGTCACCATCAGACCATACCTTCTAGAACAATGCACAGGCCATTTTTCCATGATCATATGTTTAACCTAACGCGAGATGTTCTTTAGTTTTTTGTTCATCTGTGCTGTTTTGCAAATTGCAATATACATCAAGAATCCTAAACCATGCCATTACACCGCCAAAAAAAACGGAAGAAAAAATGCCAAGATAACAAAGAAGAGAAAATTTGTGTTTCCTAGATATTTTGTTTTCACCTCTCGCGACAACTTTTTTTTTCCTTCCTGTAATGGGTGGTGGATAGCTGGACTTTCTACTACTTTAAGCCTTTACTAAGAGAGGGCCCTGCTGAATTTTCACCGTCCGGGGAACATTTTTTTAACCGCGTAAAAGATACCCGAAGAGGATACTGATTAGAGCGACGATCACGACGTGCAGAAAAGGAACCCCGGCTTCTGCAGCTGCTGGCACACCGATCTTCCCAGCTTTCAACATCGACTGCCAAATGTTCAAAAACCAAAAAAATGTTACTACAGGGGAAAAACAAACTTCCGAGGTGATTTTCTAGCTAATATTATACACACAACTTACGAGCTCTTCTTGTAAAGTCTTCCTCTCCCGATTCGTGGACTTCCTCTCCTCGATCAGCTTCGAAATCGTCGATTGAGCCTGCAAATTTCTTTTTCGGTTAGTAGCATTACACGGAAACACAGGAATTGCCCAGAAGCCAAAATGTTTTTTTCATGTTATACCTCGGTAAACTTGAGCTCCAAGGAATCCAATTTCGACTTCATTGCTTCGATTTCGTTGACTAACTTGGGGTCGACATGATTGACTAATAACTGTGGTGGCTCCACGACTGCAGCTTTCTCCACTGTGTCGAACTTTACATCGGCCGTAGGAGGAGGAGAGCGGAGGGAGTTGGCGTCCTTTGCTCCTGGTTCTTGTTGCAGGCTTTGGGCAGGGGCGGCATAATTTGCTGGTGGTTGTTCGTACCCGTCTTTAACTTCAGCCTTAATGATCACTGGCTTTGATTTCTCAGTAGCATTACTATCATACTCTCGCTTTACCTCTTCCACTTTGGGCTTATCCAACTGCACCTCATTATCGAGCTCTTCCTTAATAACAGGGATTAAGCCTTTTATGTTGACCGGCTTTATCTCTTCAGTGTCTTCTAGAGCAGCAGCAAGCTTCTTAGGCTTCAAACTGGTCTCGTGTTCTAGCATTCTGAACTCCAAGTCCTCTGTTAACTGGTGAGAAAGAGATGATATAAACGGTAAGTTAGGTAAAAGAAATCATGCAAGGGAAATTTCTTAGTAAGAGAATTTAACTAACAGGGTGGACTTGAGTAGAAGTGTCGATGCTGGTAAAGACTGGCTCGGGAAGCACTGTAGCCACATAATGGGGTATCTGTTTGGGGGAGTCATCTGGTGAAGACAATGGTGATTCAGACGGGCTGAGTTGGCTGACAAGGAAGACTTTCAGCTTGGTTTCTTCGATATCGGCACCATTCTCTTTGGAGAACTGCAATTATATCAAGCAAAAGAATAAAGTGTTTGTTATGGCGACAACAGTATGGGCAGAAAATAAAATCAGCGATACAGCATTGATCACTTTTACCATGAGAGGTGTTATGTCCTCATCAGATGTACCAATGGGGACGACTGTGGTTTGGATTAAGAACTTGTCTTTGCATACCAAGTCAGGTGGGGCAACCTTCTGAGCTTGCATTGTAACTGAAACATGCAGGGAGAAATGTGGAAGGAGGTCAAAACACAACCAAGAGACCGAATTATTTGCTTCTCAGAGTCATGGGTTTAACAGTTGGCAGAAATGATATTGCTTGCCAGGGTATGGTGACCATCAAACAATAACTGCCTCATTAAATCAAATGATGCCCTTGGCTCTATCAATCGTTCATGAACATGTTGAGAACTAACTATACTTTCAAATCCAAATCCCAAATGATAATGGTCAACAGCCAATAGAATATGTTAAGGGAAGGGAACCCCTTAAAAGAAAAAAGAAGTATCTAATCTCATGAAGAAAACGTCTCATCCTCTATTAAGTAAGATTAACGACTTTATTCAGGTAAACTGGAGCTCAAACAAGAATTTAGGACCAATAACTGAGTAAGCAATGATTAGAACAAGAGTTATGCTTGCACATCCATGCTCATCATATCAAGACTCTTAACTTGTTTTTCGAGATAGCTAACCTGTGAATTCACAAACAGACTTGGGCAGCAGGACTCCAACATTTGGACGCACGCAGTACTTCTTAGGTGAAGTAGTTTTGACCTGCCAGAAGAGTTCAGATTATTTCATGTCCGCCAAATCTGAAACTCAGAGTAGAAGAACAGGAATAGAGTTTCGAACCTTGAACGCAACAGTGTGATAGGTGTTGTTCAAAAGCCGGACTGCACATGAGCTTTGCTTCTTCAGTTCAACTGCAGAGGGGTCATCAAATTCCAAATTGAATCAGAACTTTTTTATTAAGATTCGATAAAAGGTTGGGAATCCACCAGAAAGATCGCTCATCATTCAGAAAGTGGGATAATCATGACAGGTGATAAAAAGGCCAACCACACTTTCAGCTAGTTATATTCTATCCCATCTCAAGCTTTGCAGCAAGTATTTAAGTAGAAAAAAAGTGCACCCACATTGTGTTCCACCAGGATATAATCATAGCACGATGAAAAGATATGATAATAATTCAGTTCAGGAAACGAGTTAGGAAAAGAGCAAAATCGTGGGCAGCTCCCCAATCCCCGAGACTCACACGTAAATTTCAGTTCCTTGGGTTGGATTTCCACGAGCTGCGAAGAAGCCATGATTGAGCCCCCCTTCTCTCACAAAAGTCCTCTCAGCATGCAACTCTCTGCAAAATCGAAGACAGATATACGCGCAAATCAAAATCCACAGAAAGCAAATCAGAAGCACTACAATGAACTGTGATGACTGACGTAAAAGGCACATTGAAAAAGTAAGGAGCAATTTCAACTTTTCAACGGTAAAGTTGAACAGTATTGAGCTCGCTTTCCTCCTCAATCTGTCGGCGATCGTTCTTTCCTTTGAGCAAATCCCTCTGTTTCGGCTCTAACCAGATCGGAAATTCGAATACCTAATTCTGGATTGAAGTGGGAAAATGGCACGACTCGGCGAGTATTTCCGAGCTCCAACTCAATTCAACTGAGCTCCACAGTCGGCCGAAATACACTAACCAAACAGCTCGAAACCGAGTTGCGAAATCGCAATCTGATGAAGAAGCAAATTATCCTAAAATCTTCTCAGTCAAAGGAGAAATCTATTTCTGCGGCACCAGAGAAAATTCAGCCATCAACAAATAACTTCTAGAGAAAATCTCTCAAACTCATCGCCGTCTAAAATAATCAGAGAGGAAACAGACCAGTTAAGGGAATTTCAATTCAATACAGCCAGGGAGCCGAGAACGACCGACAAAAATAACACACTCGACTTCTCCGCCGACGAAACCACCGCCGGCCGGCACCAAATGACTCGAAGAAAAAAAAAAACAAAAAAAAAGCTCTAGCTCCAGAAAACGACGGCGTTCAGCTTTCTCATAGTCAGCGTTAAGTTAGGAAAGGGAATCCCGACGAATCCGAAATCCAAAGCACCATTAAGCAAACGAAAGAGAGAAAGAGAGAAAGAGAGAAGGTGAGAAACCTCAGAACCGCCGCGCCGAAGCTTTCATACGGCGGAAAACGACGAGCGGCCAGAATCGGGAACGGGAAAACGGAATGTACAGGGAAATAGAGATGGCAAGAGGGAGAGAGAGAGAGAGAGAGAGAAAAAAAAACAGTAGGAGAAGAAGCTTACCGGATTACGGGATCCTTCCCTGACGGCGAAGAATCAGGGAAATTGAATTTATAGCACCAGTGAGGAAGAGAGAGAGAGGAGAAGGGGCCGCGTGAATTTAGCGTTTCCTTATCTCGAACAAACAGCGGCGTTCTGCAGGGAGAGAGATAGAGAGAGAATTCTGTTTGGTGAGCAGGAAAATTTTCTGGATGCAGAGGATCGCAGATGAAGAAGACGAAGAAGGGAAGTGAAAGCGAAGTTAAGAAGAGAGAGAGAGAGGGAGAGAGGTTGGTGGAGGTGGAGTTGGCGTAGGGAGAGAGCGGTTGTACCGGCCGTTTAAACGGAGGATCTGGTTCTCCGCCCCAACCCCCTGCTTTTTTCCCTTTCTTCTTCCTCCCCTGCTGCTGCTACCTTCTGGTTTTGATCTTGGTGACGCTGACGTCCCCGGAAATTGTTTTGGAAAAAGAAAGAGGAAAATTAGAATATTATATATACATATAAGGAAGAAATTTTAAGAATGAAAAAATTCATAATATATGGGAAGAGTTTTTTAATCTTAAAAATATGGTCAAATGATAATTTATTAAAAAAAAACGCTTTGAATAGTAATACCAAAAAGGGGGAAATACAAATACTCCGCTGGGAACAAAGCCAAATATGATATGATGTACGTATAGTGGAAATTGTATTTACAAACTGTATGGATTCAACGGCAATTTCAAAGATCATATGGAGATTTTGATTTTGATTTTAGTTTTATTTTGATTTTGATTTTTTCTCAATCTTAGCTATACCAAGAAAACGGTTAGATCTATCTAAATAGGAAATAATCATTTGAAATAATTAGTTAGGATTGAGCAGAAGAGCTAGGGATAGCAATGGGTCGGGTCGGGGACGGATAGTGCATATCCGTTACCCTACCTAAAGTAGTTCGGGTTTTACCTATACCCACATGTGAAACGGGTAGAAAATTAAAACAATGCCCATACCCGTTCGGGTTTTGGGTATCCACGGTTATCCATGGGTAATGATTTCTCATCATAACTCTAAACAGTATGTTAACATTCACATGTATTCTCAGTTTCTCACATTACGTAAGAGGAAAAGTATGACAACAATTCACTAGAATGAAGAAAATTAATTAAAAATAATAATTTCATGAAAATATTATATTTATATGCTAAATATAAAATATGTTAGAGAAAAATAATGATTATTTTTAGACAAAATAAATATGTATGTGTATAACCGGGCGGGTTCGGGTTGGATAGTGAGAAACCCATGCCCACCCATCACCCGCAATATTCGGGTTCGAGTTTTACCCGTACCCACTAAATGTCCTTCGGGTTCGGGTTTTACCCTACCCGATTAGGCCGGGTTCGGACGGATATCCATGGTTACAGATATTTTTGCCATCCCTAAGAAGAGCGATCGTTAAAGGCCGTCTCAAAATCAATAAAATCGTCATAGAATTAATATATAAATTACTTTATTGTCCTTTTTTTAATTTGGAACTCAATCACAAACCAAACAATCACATATTCTTCCTTTTAGCTCATGCCTCATGACGCCTTTCCCCCTTCCCCTCTAGCAAGCAGCGCTCTCCCTCCGCTCTTCCCCCGAAAAATGAACATGCTCTACCTCCCCTCCTCATAGCCTTCTGTTATGCATTTTCCCTAGAAAACGAACTGAGATCTCTCGCCTTTGTCGACCCTCCCTCCGCTCCACCCTCTTCCTCCAGTAAATGAACCTTAATCAACAATATCACTACGACTCTCGCAACATCGTAGTGTCAAGCAGCGATGTGATGTTATTAAGACTAACTTTGGAGCTCAAATCTATGAACACATTGCAGCCATGAGGCAACAACATCGTTGTTCGAACTCGTGTACCGATCCTAGGCTCCTAGAATTGTCACAATTCATTTGTATGAGCTTCACGCGAATGAAATAATTTGAGAGCATGAGATGTAGAAAGGACTAAGGACTCCAACTTCCTAAAAGAGAGTGGAGAAACATGGGAGCTGGGGGGAAATGGAGCACTTTCAGGATGACTATTGGGAGATGAGGGACAACTAATCACACAGAAACGCATATGTCTCACTTTTTATCTTTTTCCTGTTACTTCTAGTTACAGAGCTCTCCTTCATAGGTATAGTCGTTATAGTATTTGTTTAGATCTCAAGGAATATTCATAGGAGTATAAGTAATATTAGTATAGATTTCTTCAAACATCAAACACACTCTTTCGAAAAATATTGCCGGCAAAGGTATGAATTTAGTAACAATCATCATGATTTCCAGAAGTCAGAAACACAATCAAAAGCAACATAGTGAAAGTTTCCACTGAAAAAATGTAACTGATAAGTGTACCAACAAAAATTGCATAGCAGACTCTCAGTATAAATGAAGAAGTTTGGCATGAAATCTCAAAAGCACATGATTGATGTGCATAACCCTATACATTAATCATGTTATTAGTTTATGAGTGTACCCTTAAATGTCATAAGTGCATTCTTTAACTCACCGCCTATTTTGTTCCTACCTTCAATTGTATACCCTCAAATCATTGGAACTTGGGGTGCCTATATATGCACAAATATACTTGTCTAAGTTAACATCTCTAATTGTTTGGGCATCAAAATGGTTTTGCTTTAAATAATGCATTGTGTATATTGAACATTTAATTGGCTTTAAATAAGTCAATTCAACTAAGCACAACAAATGGATTAGGGTAGAGATGTTTTGAATTTTTAGTTGTTTTGGTCCACCATCAACAACACTGTGTTGTTTAACAACATTTCGACGGTCAGGAGCGTCATGAATTCCATGGTGTCCTTAGTAACACCGCGAGTTCAACAATGGCGTAGTCAAACCAACGAGGTTGTTTAATCAACAACATCAATATAAGTCTTGCAACATCCTGGTCTCAACTCTCAAACAACAAAGTCGTTCTATAATGACCAACCGTTGCATCTCATATCCATGATGACTTTGCAGCCATGAAGCAACAACCTTGTTGGTTGAACCTCTCTACTGATCTTAGGCTCCTAAATGGGTCACAATTCATTTGCATGTGTTTCACGCAAAGGTTATTTGGTTGGGAGCGTGAAATGCAGAAAAGTTGAGCGCTTCAGCTTCCTAAAAGGGGGTAAAGAAACATGGGAGACAAAAATGGTGCAGTTTCGCGATGACTATTGGGATGCTTTTTCATTAAGAATCTAGAGCGAAGATAGAGAGGAGGGACAACACTAATCACACAGAAACACACATATCCCACTTTTTATCTTTTCTCTGTTACTTCTGGTTGTGGAGCTCTCTTTTTATGAAGAATTCTTCATAGTGCTCGTTGAGCTAAAGGCATTTTCATAAGAGTATTGTAATTTTGTATAGATTTCCTCAAGCATCAAATACTCTCGTCCGAACATTGTCGGAAGAAGTGTGAACCGAGTAACAATCACCTGATTTCTAGAAATCAAAAGCACAATCAAAAGCAACAGCTAAAAATTTCCACCAAGAATTGAACTGTTAAGTGTACCAACAAAATGAGCATTTACTCAGTATAAATGAAGGCATTTGAGAAATCATCTTAGGGGTCGTTTGCTTCAAGGATTTGGATGTGGGATTTGGTTCCAAATCCAACACATGAAGAATTTGTCCAAAAGCCATTGTTTGTTGAGCCAAAATGGACCCCACAGATTTGTAAATCCCACCTCATACCCTGGGATATGGAGACAAGCTGAAAAACTATCAAATTCATGATAAAAATAGCTCAACAAAGAAAAGATTTCCTCAAATCCATAATACCCAAAATCTCTAATAAATCTCAAGATTTTTAATTAACAAATTCATAACAAAACCCTCGTTATAAAATCCTTGAAGCAAACGATACCTTAATATAATTGCTCCCCATCCTCCAATCCATGGAGGGAAATGCCCTTATTTGTAGATCACCCAACGTTTTCTATGTCCCCACACCATTTCAGAAAAAAAAAAGCCTTGGATCTCCCATTCGTTGTCCCTTTCTTTCTTTCTCTTATTATTCATCTAACTCCCTTTTTTTTATACACGAGTTTTCCTTTTCTTCATCTACTTTTCTCTAGTGAGTGCGTTTCAATCTGTAACTGCTAAATACCTACAGGGTGATTAGTGTTTGAAGTTTGAACTCTCAAAGCTTTTCTTGTTATTTATGAGAAATTGTAAATATCCGAGTGATTGAAAACAACTATCATATAGTACATAATCAATAGGAGATTTCACCCTATCAAAATAATAATAATAATAATAATAATAATAGGAGATTTCACTAACTAGAACCCAACATCGTTAAAGTTACAATACAGTTATGGTATTGTTATACTAAAATTTTGTTTGGATTTTCACTTTTTTTTTTATAGAATGTTTGGATTTTCACTTTAATTCCGTGCTCTCATAACTATCTATTGTTTTCCTTCACTGTTATGTATTCTAGTTTCTTTGAGGCTTCAGCAACAATGAGAGAAAGAGGCCGACCGGACATCCAACTAATGAAAAACAATTCAATTTGTATTGAAAATTATGAGGTGCGACTGCGCAAGCAATTTCAAGAGAAGGTGACAAAAAAGGAAGTTAATTTCTTAAAAAAAAAGAAGAAATTAATGTGATTTGAATTTCAGTGGCCAAGCATGTGGTAAAAAAACATAGGTTAATATCTCAAAATGAACCGAATTTCATATTAATAGATTGTTTAAGTTTTTAAATTTATTATTTTCTCGTGGTTGCATGGTTTCATGACTAACGATCAATGATGTTGACTATTCAACTTAACGTGTACTTAAACCATGAGTCGGGTAGAAGTAGTCGTAAGAGTGTAAAATTCGAGACAAGATGGGTAGTTTTGAAAATTCGGACAAATTAGTCTTACTACTGTAAAGTTTTGACTACTTTAATGCATTGACCCAGAACATATTAATTTGTTCTATTTTTCGAATTTGTTAGAAATCCAACTGTGTGTTTAACCGCGATATAAAAGTACAAGGGACCATGGCCATGTCTAGTTGTCTACCAATAGTTTCACCACTAATTATGGTTTCATTTCTATTAATCCATAAAATAATGGTATTGTGATTCAAGCTGAGATTTTCTAGTGAATTGGTTGATGGTCACGATGAATGAAAAAGTAGGAAGTTATGAAGAAGAAAATTAAGGGAAACCGGGAAGCGTTCCAGATCTCCACTTTTGACTTTCTACAACTACGCCAAAAGCAACAATATCCCCTACCATCATCATTGTACACATTAGAAAGAAAAGGTCTATACTTTGATCAAAATCCGCAATTTCTTTTTCTTATCGGTTTAGCTGCTGCAAAAGTTGGGGTTTTCTCTGTAAAGTGGAATGTGATTATTGTATATTCTTATTTTATGGACGATTAATGGCTTAGGTTATGTTTTTTGATTACCGCT